GAACCCCCCCAGCTCTCCCAGCCTGGCTCCAGAGCAGAGGGGCTCCAGCCCTTGGAGCAGCTCCGGGGCCTCCTCTGGACTCTCCAGCAGCTCCAAATCCTTCTGATGTTGGGGATTCCAGGGCTGGAGCAGCTCTGCAGGTGGGGTCTCACCTGAGGGGGCAGAGGGGCAGAATTCCCCCTCATCTGATGCCCATGGGGGATTTTTGGGCTTTCAAGTGCTCATTTTGGTTCATGTCCAGCTTCTCATCCACAAAAACTCCCAAAGTTTAGATACAGATTATAGATGGATGGAGAAGGACAAGACCATCTTGAGCCTCAGGGCTCTTCCTCACAATTTTGAGGCTGCAAATGAGCAGTGCAAGACCATTTCTTACATCAAAGAGTCAATAAATAACCAGTCCCACCTGCCCCATCCATCAGCTGGAAACACTTGCACAGGTTTTTGGAGCTGAAAAATACTATTAATCATCCTTCTGGGTCCTAATGGATTTCTTAAACAGCCTAGAAAGTGGGAACATTAGGGGAAGATAAATGGGGATGAGAGCAAAGGGTCGTAACACAAATTAGGGACCATTTTGTCCCACACTGGGAAGGGAAAAGTGTTTGCCCAGAGGAGGCTGCAGAAAATGGAGGAAAAAACTCCCCAAGGGACAAAAACAGATCAGAAAAGTGTCACCCAGAGAGCTGAAAGTGTCCCCCACTGAGCTGAGAGCAAAGAGCCAAACAAACATCTCTGGGGTTTATGAATTTGCCTTTTACAGATAGAGAAAGTCCACGAGCAGCTTGGCCTTGCACAGGGGTCACCCCAAACCAGCTCAGCATTGATCTTTCCTTCCTGAATTCACCTGGAGGTGGATCCTAAGGAATCAACAGCTTCAACAAGTCAGAAGAAGTGGAAAACTGTGTCCTTGGAGACGCTGTCCCAACATCAAACCCTTCCTTGAAGGCCTCAGTTGGATCTTTCCCCATTCCCTAATTTTTCCCTAATCACTTCCCTAATTGCACCCACTGATCCTCGGATCAGTGCTTGTTTTCTGTTCCACCTCATCCCTGATAACGGGATTGATCACCTGAAGAACAGGCAAGATGTGGGAGTCTGGGGGGTGTTTTGGCTCCCAGGGCTTTCCCAGAAATTCAGGAAATACAGGAACACTGTATTTGTGCCACTGGGGCTCTTTTGCCGGGAAAGATAACTGCAGATGCTGAAAGGGAAACTGGAGCCTGGGAATATCTTGGAATCTCCTGGTGTTATCCAAATGGCCTGGAATGAGGTTATTTTACAGCTCCTGGGACTTCTGTTGGACGACAGGGGTATGGACCTGTCTCTCCATGAACTGGGGGAGCCCAGAGATGCTGCTCCCCCCCAGGGATCCAGATAATAAGATTGTGCTAATCCACATTCAGCAGCAAAGCCTTTGAGGATTTAGGAAGTTTTGAAATATTATTTAAATGTATGTCAAGCTTTCCATTATTTACTGTTATTAACTTGTCACCGTGGGCAGATTAAAATCCCGAGCGAGAAGAGCCCTCCGGAGTGACAGATTCGAAAGCAAATGTGTCACTTTTTCCTCCCTGAGCCAGAAAATAATTTGTGTTTACAGTGCATTTCATGCAAATGAAGAGCCAGTCAGGTTTGGAGACATCATCCCCTCCTGCTCCAAGGTGTCCTGGTTAAACTGGGGACTTTATTCCTGAAGGGAATGAAACAAGCCCAAGTCCTGCAGCAGCAGCAGAATCCCACAGCCCTCACCCTCCTCTGAGTTATGAACCACCCTCCATCCCAGCCTGCCTCTAAATATCCTCTTTCCCTTAATGAGAACAGAAAAAGCTGTCAGGAATATCGATGGATCCAATATCTCCGGCACCAAGGGCCCCGTGTTTTCCAGAAGTGAAGAGAATTTCAACGCCAGCATTGATTTTATTGCTCTGCAATATGAAGGAAGGAGTTACTGCAGAGGAACAGGGTAACAGAATGCATCAAAGGGGAGGCGAAAAACATTAAAAAG